AGGCGTTCCCCTTCAGGAACTCGAGCTGCGTCGAAACGCTAAGGGAACGAGTATGCCCATGCCGCCAGACTTACAAATCCCTGCCCAGTTGTGGAAGCTAGGGCGAGAGAACAGAAGAGCCCAGAGTGGCTCGCATATCTAGGCCATAGAACCTGACAAATGTTAGGGCCGTGGACCAACCCGCAGCGTTGCAGATGTCCTGCATAGACACACCTGCTAGAAAGGCCTTGGAGGCCGCCACACCTCTAGTAGAGTGAGGCTTGATCCCCAGAGGCAAGGGGAGATCAGAGGACTCATAGGCAATAGTAATGGCATCAACTATCCACCGACTGAGGGTCTGCTTTGTAGCAGGAAAACCCCTCTTAGGGAGACCATAGCAAACAAGCAGTTGGTCCGCCCTTCTCTACAGGGCAGTTCTGTGGATGTACGTGTCCAGTGCTCGCACTGGACACATACAGTTAAGCTTCTGCTGGTCGGGCTCCCTGAAGGGAGGAGGACAGAAGGCCTGTAGCACGATAGGCTGTGGTGTAACAGAGGGAACTTTAGGTACATTAGCGTTGGGCGATGTCTACCAAAATGGCATCAGATGATATCTACAGTGAAACATCGTGATGGACGATGACATCGGTGGGCGGGGTTAGGGGGTGTGCCCGAAGTGTGAATCTGTATTCAAAAAGGCACGGAAAACAAATAACGCATTCTACGGAGCCATTAAAGGGACATGGTTTACAAAGAGCTTCTAGCACCACAGCCAGGTCCCACGGGGGGACGCAAGATCGTCCTGGGGGCCTCAGCCTCAGCGCACCACGGAGTAAACGTGTAACTAAGGAGTGTCTGCCCACTGACTGTCCACCAATTGGCGCATGGTAGGAGCTACGAGTTGTGCCCCCTCAGGGGCCACACCCATAACTTCCACAGCTCCGGGCGGGGGTGAAAGATCGTGCCCTCTGCCTGTGAGAGGAGGTCACTCCTGACCATACTCGGCAAAAAATTCTCCATATCTGCTTCACCACCTCGGGGTGAAGCCTCCATTCCCCGGGCCTCGGCCCTTGCCTCGACAGGATGTCTGCTCCCATATTGAGATGCCCAGTGATGTTAACCGCTCTTAGAGAAAGGAGCTTCCGTTGGGCCCACACAAGGATCTGGTGCGCCAGGTTGTACAAGGGGCGCGAATGCAGACCTATAACCATCGCCCTATAACAGCGCTCGTTCAACCCCGCAACATTGCCATAGTAATCAGAAGCGGGGATGAATTGGCGGGCCAAGAATGGCCTGGCCCACGATCTCGACACCTCTGTGTGGAGATCAGGGAAAAAAGGCAGGCTCTGGGATGGAGGTGGTGGCCTGGCCCGCAGAAAACGGTCATCTAATTTACTTTTCTGCGGTTCGGCTTGCTTCTCGGCTGGCCAGTCGATGTTTAACTTGGCCACAGCGCGAGTAACCACCTCCAACAGCTCCTCGTACTGGGGCGATTGAGGGGCCACCCCCCCCCCGCCGCTCTCCACGTCAACCTCCTCGGAGGAAGACAGGCGGAGCGTCGAGCCTGCTCCCCGGGGGGAAGAAACCGCAGAACAGGCTTCTGAATCCAGAGAGCGAGTGCTGGATCTGGCAGGTGAGGAAGAAGATAGGGACTCACCCGTCTCCATTCCCTCTGCCAGATCCACTGCGAACCCACGAGTGCAGCTGCTGCTCTGCTTCGGCGGAAGCGGGGCCAGCACCGCGGGGAACGCTGGTGAAGGCTCCCTCATCGAAGACAGCCTTCTGCAAGCGAAGCGTATGCAGGGGAGGCCGCTCGCAATGTGGGCAGTCGGGAGAGCCAACACTGCGAGACCTCGAGAGCCGACTCTGCATGCTTCGCTCCCAAGCAAACCACGCACAGACTATGTGTATCCCCGCTCGTAATGTAGCGCGGGCAGGGAGGAACACACAGCCTGTAACGTGATTTGCTTTCGCCCTTTTTTAAATGCTTTGTCTTAGCCTCAGCTTTAGACATGCTTATTGAGGAGCTTATTGGGACAATCAACACCAAATAAGACTTACAAACAGAGAGAGTGACTGACACAACACAGAGCGCTTTGCTGAATGACAGAAAGCTGGTTCCACTGCACATGCTTTTATAGCTTCCTGGTCATTACGTTACCCGCTCGTGGCATCTCGCCCATCTATTGGACTGATTACACATGTGATTCAGAGCGTGGTCACGCTGAAGGCGTTCCCTTAGCGTTTCAACGCAGCTCGAGTTCCTGAAGGGGAACAGAATTTATATGTTTATTGTTATAGAGTTAATATGTTTAAGGTTTCCATCTTTATACTTAAATAATATCTACTTATAAATAATATAAATAATATCTACAATTAAACAATATCTAATTTATTACCTAATTTAATAAATGAACTTTCATACACTACTGTTTAAAAGTCTGGTGTCAGTTAGACTTAAATTTTTAACAGAAATTTATTATTTTATTCAGCAAGCCTGTATTTTTACACAAGAAATTATGCAGCACAACTGTTTTCAACATTGATAATAACACATTTTTCTCAAGCAGCAAATCAGCAGATTTGAATGATTTCTGAAGGATCATGTGACATTGAAGACTGGAGTAATGGCTGCTGAAAATTCAGCTTTGCCATCACAGGAATAAAGTCATTCAATATAATATACATTTTCATATTCAGTTTACTTAAAAAGGGCACACACTCCAATTAGAAAGATGCTACACAGTATTCATCATTAATTGGAGTGAAATTTTATAATTATCTCATACTAGGCACAACTAAGACAGACGCTTCAGCATTTTTGCCCCTGGTCAGAAGAGCATCTTTGAAAAATTGATCAATTTTCCACATTGTTTGCTTCTCAAGAGTCCCCGTGAGAATTCAATGAAATCACTGGAACTCATTATGTTCATGAAGCAGATTCCCACCCATGCTTTTTAACATAATACAAAAATCACAATAAAAGTTTACAAGTCCACCAAAGCAACCATCCATAACAGAGAGAATGTGTGTCGCTTCCGAAAGCACAGCTGTATGTTTTTTTGCACATGCAGAGTTTGGTTATATGGGTGTGCATTTTAAATGGAGTGCTGACAGTAACAATAGCTCAGCCCATTAGCAATAATAGCTTTGCATCCATATCCATTCTCTGTCACCTGGCTGGAGATATTCCACTGGGAAACAAATGATTCACCTTGTGCAGTGATAGCCTTACTGTGCAATTTTCACACCTCACTGTGCTTACATGGATGCACACAAATATGAAATTTTTTTTAATTTGCACATTGAACATTGCAAAAATGATTATACTCTCTCTCTCTCTCTCTCTCTCTCTCAGTGGGACGGACATTTTTTTCTTTAGAATGTCTCTAACTTCAGATAAGTGTATTCATCTGATGCAGCATTCACTGTTAAGTCCTCCACAATGTGAGCATTTGCACAGCTTGTTTCGACAACACATGACATTAAAAGAAACAAAGAGAGAACTAGTGTTCGTGTGTAGCTATGATGAAGGAGGGTGATTTTTGTCTTCAGCGTCTATCTCCATGTGTGAAATAATCTGTGGGAGCAGATGTGCAGATTGAATGTTTAACCCCAGCACATCCCTCCCTCCTTACAAGGATTAGACTGAATAATAGAAACTCTTCAGCACAGATAAACACATTCTCGTCACTATCCTTAGCAGTTGTGTGAAATGTTCAATCTTACAAAAAAGTTTTGGTTAAATAGTGAATCCTCAGGCTTAAAACATCATTTGTAGATAAATATTAGAATTTTCTCTCTGTTTCTCGGTTTCTAAAAGATCAGGTGGCTAATTATGTTCGTGTGTAGCTATGATGAAGGAGGGTGATTTTTGTCTTCAGCGTCTATCTCCATGTGTGAAATAATCTGTGGGAGCAGATGTGCAGATTGAATGTTTAACCCCAGCACATCCCTCCCTCCTTACAAGGATTAGACTGAATAATAGAAACTCTTCAGCACAGATAAACACATTCTCGTCACTATCCTTAGCAGTTGTGTGAAATGTTCAATCTTACAAAAAAGTTTTGGTTAAATAGTGAATCCTCAGGCTTAAAACATAATTTGTAGATAAATATTAGATTTTTCTCTCTGTTTCTCTGTTTCTAAAAGATCAGGTGGCTAATTAACACTTGCTAATCTGAGGTAATGAAAACCACACTCCCAGGTGATTCAATGATCCCAAGTGTGACCCTTGCCAGCAGATTATGAGGCATCATGGAATACCCAAGTGAGGCTTGGCATGGAGAAAGTCTTCCTGGCACACATCTGGTTATTCACTACATGAGATACACAGCAACCTAAAGTCAAACAATCCTGATGACAGACCATGGAAAGTCACATTTATTTTTTAACAATTAAATGAATAATTTACTCAAAATGGAAAATTCTGCCATCATTTACTCACTCTCACGTTATTCCAAACCAAACCTGAATGACTTTCTTTCATCTGTGTAACACAAAAAAGAGACTGTTTTCTCATGCTCCATAATGGATAAGTTTGCTGAAGTCAAATCTTTTTTTAAATATTGATATTTAGTTTTTTTTTCAATTTGAGTAATTTTAGTATTTGAATATCAAATTAGTTTCCAAAGCGTTTATTTTATTTTATTTTTTATAATTATTATTTGTTTTTTCAAATGCCTAAGACTTATTTAACAGTTTTTATTTAACAATAACAAAACTGCCTAGTTCTCTTTGGTGGGTTCATGAGAAAATTAACAATGTTTTATTCATGAACAAAACATTCTTTTGAGTAATATCTTTCAACAGATTATTGAGTGCCTATGGCAGAAAAATGATTTCAACTTTGCATACTATGTGCAAATGAAGAATAAACATGCTAAATAAACATGTTAAAATATGCCAACTAGAATTGTAATTAAAAATTGTAGATTTGAGGATTATGAATTATTTAGTAGACATGGCACATTACATATATTAAAATGCAGCATTATTTAAATTTGATGATGTGTCTATGGTATGTTCACAAGAATAATGTTTTAGTTACTGATTCATTGGCTTACCTGAACAGCTTTCTGGGATTGGATGTCTACAATGAGCAACCTGTTCAGCAAAGGCTGTGTGGCATAAATGAACTTGTCCTTCACATTGACGGCTGATGTCCATACACATTTCTGATCCTTCTCTCCCTCCACTTGTGGACAGACCTCCTCCTTCAGGAATAAGGTACAAAAAAAGGTTATCAAAAATGACTACACATAGAAATACTAAGGATTATTTGAGTGAATGCATTTCAAATGTGGCTCTTCACGTAAAAGGAAACTATTAAGAACACTTCTGAGTTGAAGGTCAACAATGCTACTAAAATTTCAATGAAGCCACAAAAATAAATTAGTTCTTTAGAATAAATGAAACTATACAACTATAAAATCAAACAGTATAAGACTCTCTAGTGCCTGCCTCTAGGCAAAGGACCTTGTGGATTTGGACCGATAGTGGGCAGAAGTGTCATCATGGCCAAATGTCAGACAAACTCTGTCAAAATGTGAGCGGCTGTCAGGCCTGAGGCTGAATGTGCTGTGGTTAAAGAGGTGAGAGCTGCCTGATTGATGGCCACAGGTTGTGCAGAAGTGGGCATCTCCTGTGGTGATTCTGTTGACTGAGCTACTCAAGGGCTGTCGACGACAATCAAGACGGAGACACAGACAGATGTGACTGGATGCGTCTGGTCTAGCGAAACCTCTTACAAAACTCAAATAGAGTATTATTTGGCAAGAACCACTGCCTTTTACGCACATTTGGTTATTTTTAATGATCTAAAAGACTCAAAAGTGTACTAAGAATGAAAATAAAACACCAACAAAAAAGATTAAGAGAGTATATGGGTGCCACTTATCAAATTTGATTGTCCCAGACTTAAAAATACTTAAAAAATACTAATTATATTAAAAAGTTAAAAATGTAAACAATAACATAATAACAACAACAATAAACAACATTAATAATTGTACACCATTTCAATATATATATGTGACCATGGACCACAAAACCAGTCATAACGGTCAATTGATGTATGGTTTGTTAGGATAGGACAATATTTGGAAGAAAAAGTCATATACACCTAGGATGCATCGGGGGTGAGTAAAACACAGCCTAATTTTTATTTTTGGGTGAACAAACCCTTTAAGACTGGTTTTGTGGTCCAGGGTCACACACACACACACACACACACACACATTTTAATGTATGTAGATTTAAGTCATTTTAACATTGACTATTAAATCAGCTGCCAAAAACTGCAACTGCAATTTTTCTTTAAAATGATCAGTGAATATTTAAAAAGGAGGGACATACATGTGACAGTGATTTCCCACAAGCAGAACATAGGAAAAACATATCGTAATGTTCTTCAAATGTTCTTCCCCAGACAGAGTTTGCACCGGGGCTTGCCGTTAAGGCCTGGCATTTGATTGATGTCCTAATAGAGGCCTGCTGCCTCTCTGGAGGCTGGAAACTCAAGCTCTCACCTCCCCGAGCACCAAATAAACACAGCTGTCTCATCAGCATACCCAGCTCCAATGAAACAGCAGAACAGAGGAAGGCAATCATTTAATAGCTTGTGTAAATCTAGCAGCTGTCTATCAGAAAGAGCCGAGAAATGATACGCAGAGTCAGGGAGGGATGTAAGCGATGTAAAGTGATGAAGGCGGAGCTCAACTGATGTCTGTGCTGAGGATCAAACTCCATGCGGTTAAATTACTGGTCATGTCAGGAGAGGAAGCTCAGTGCTGATGTTCATTTCAATATGTAACCAGTAGAATTAAGGAAACGAAACAGGAAAAAAGATGGAAACTCGGATGGAAAGAAGTAAGGAAGGAAGAATGGAAAGAAAGAAAGAAGGAAAGATAGAAATAAATACAAAAGGGAATAAAGAAGGAAAGCAGGACGGAAGGGTGGGTGAATAGAATGAAGGGTGGATAGATGGATGTGTGATGGATGCATGGAATGAAAGAGAAAAGGAAGGAAGGATGGACTGATGGATGGATGGAAAGAATGAAAAAGAAAAGGGAGGAAGGAAGGATGACTGATGAATGATGGAAAAAAGAAGAAATGATGGATGGATGGAAAGAATAAAAAAGAAATGGAAGAATGGATGGATGGACGGAAGGAAAGAAGTAAGGAAGGAAAGATGGATGGGTGAACAGAATGAAGGATGGATAGATGGATGATGATGAAACAATGAAAGAGAATGGGGAAAGGAAGGAAGGATGGATGATGAAAAGAAAGAAGAAATGGTGGATGGATGAAAAGAAAACGAGAAAAGGATAGATGGAAGAATGAATGGAAAAAAGTAAGGAAGGAAGGATGGATAGGTGAACAATAAAGGATGACAGATGAATGTATGGATGAAAGGAAGAGTGAAAGAGAAAAGGGTGGATGGATTGATTGAATGAAAGAAAGAAAGAGAAGGAAACGGAAGGAAGGAAGGAAAGAAAGAAAGAAAGAAATGGAAGGATGGATGGATAAAAAGAACAGCATACATTATACTGTATGTAGCCCTTCATGCAAACACCAGCAATCAATCATTTTTGTTGTAAAATAATTGCATAAATATACTGATAAAAAAACTGCAGTCATAAACTTCACACTTTGCTTGTGGTTACAGCATGCAGGAGGGAAAACAGAGGCTTTATGTTGCACATTTACAAGTACTTAAACATTTCTTTTATACAACAGCTCACCTGCAGGCCAAGAAGCTTCTCGCTGGGTTTGATGTGTCTCTGAATCTCACAGGCCACTGGCTGGATGACTTTAATACCGTCCTCATAAAACACATAGAACATGTTTCCAATCCCCAGACCTATAGTATCACATTGATGAGTTTGTTCAGGGCTCAAATCCCCCCAAAACAAGGGTATCTTCAACATTACCACTAACACTATCATATACCTGAATCCAGACATACACTAGACATTAATATTGTATTAAAACACAATGTTTACTTACCTTCTTCTCTCCACAGGATGTTTGCCACTGTAAGAGAACACAAAGAAGACTCGTGTGAGAGATATTTGCTGTACTCTACTCATCTAAAAGTTTAAAAATCCATCCCACCAGAGATACAAGATGAATTCACACTTCTGGATATAAAAACCTCCCACAGATTATTGCAACAACATTTGTATTCTTTTTGGTTACACTTTACTTGAAGGGGTGTGCATAAGACTGACATGACACCTTCATAATCATGACATGACACCTACATAATCATGACATGACACATGTCATGAATATGAAGGTTTTTTATGCATGTTTATGACAACTGTCATTAAGTGTCATTCGCTCAGTTATGTAATTTTTAATGCAAAGATGACATTGTTTGAGATGTCTTTGTTATGGGCTATGGTTAGGGGTAGGGTTAGGTTAGGGTTAGGTCAAATAATGTCATATTTGCATTAAAAATGACATAACTGAGCGAATGACACTTAATGACAGTTGTCATAAACATGCATAAAAACCCTTCATATTCATGACATGTGTCATGTCATGATTATAAAGGTGTCATGTCAGTCTTATGCACACCCCTGCAAGTAAAGTGTAACCTAAATTTTCACTAAGAAATGTCAAATAATTTTTTTATTCAAAGAACAATAACATACAGTATAAGTGTCATTTGCTCAGTTATGTAATTTTTAATGCAAATATGACATTGTTTGAGATGTCTTTGTTATGGGCTATGGTTAGGGGTAAGGGTAGGGGTAGGGTTAGGTTAGGGTTAGGTCAAATAATGTCATATTTGCATTAAAAATGACATAACTGAGCGAATGACACTTAATGACAGTTGTCATAAACATGCATAAAACCTCCTTCATATTCATGACATGTGTCATGTCATGATTATGAAGGTGTCATGTCAGTCTTATTCATACCCCTTCAAGTAAAGTGTTACCTTTTTTTTTTCTATTGTGGTTTAATGCTGAGAGTTGTGTTTGATTTGGCCAAGTAATTATACTCTGCAACCTGAGGAGCTTATTGATTTGACTCGCTCATGTATAATCAATACTGTGTCAGCATTGCACATTGAGGTCAGCCTGCGGGGATTTATACACTCACACACAGTCACCAACCACACTGTTCACACAGAGGAAACAATGTACATTAGGGTGCAAGTCAGAGCTTATCTTTGCATTCAGCATGATTATTTACCCATAACTGCTGGAGCTGTATTACATTTTAAAACACTTAAACTTTGGAGATTGAGATCTATGCCTTTAACACCAAGCATTTCTGCAGACTCTGTTGATCTTCTCCTTGATTCCTTTAACTCAAAAGTTAAGAATGTTATTGATGATATTGCTCCTGTAAAAGTCAGACTGGCAGACAAAAATCTGCTTGCAGTACAGTGTATGAAAAGACAATGCAGAAAAGCTAAGCGGATGTGGCGGAAGACGAAACTTGAAATTCACTATAGCATCTATAAAGACAGTCTTCATGCTTTCAATGTGGAACTAGCCACAGCTAGACAGAGTTTCTTCTCAAACCTTATAAACAGTAACTTAAACAACACTCACACTCTTTTTGCTACTGTTGAGAGACTGACAACACCCCCCCAAGTCAAATTCCCAGTGAAATGCTCTCTGACAGCAAATGCAATGAGTTTGCGTCCTTCTTTTCTGAGAAGATCATTAATATCAGGAAGGCGATTAGCACATCCCCAAGTTATGCAGAGGTCAGACAGATTCGACCGCAATATCAAAAAGAAGATACTATGTCTATTTTTAAAGCAATTGATAGCAACATTTTGGAAGAAATAATACAGCACCTAAAATCCTCAACCTGCTATCTTGACACACTTCCCACATATTTTTTCAAAAGGGTGCTAAACTGTTTAAAAGCAGAACGGATGTGGCGGAAGACGAAACTTGAAATCCACTATAGCATATATAAAGATAGCCTTCGTGCTTTCAATGTGGAACTAGGCAAAGCTAGACAGTCATTCTTCTCAAACCTTATAAACAGTAACTTAAACAACACTCGCACTCTTTTTGCTACTGTTGAGAGACTGACAAACCCCCCAAGTCAGATTGCCAGTGAAATGCTCTCCGACAGCAAATGCAATGAGTTTGCTTCCTTCTTTTCTGAGAAGATCAATAATATCAGGAAGGCGATTAGCACATCCCCAAGTTATGCAGAGGTTAGACAGATTCGACCACAATATCAAAAAGAAGATACTATGTCTATTTTTGAAGCAATTGATAGCAAAATTTTGGAAGAAATAGTGCAGCACCTTAAATCATCAACCTGCTATCTTGACACACTTCCCACATCTTTTTTCAAAAGGGTGCTTAACTGTTTGGAAGCAGATCTCTTAGAAGTGGTGAATGCCTCACTTCTTTCTGGGACGTTTCCAAATTCCCTGAAAACTGCAGTTGCTAAGCCCCTTCTCAAAAAGCGCAATCTTGATAACACCATTTTGAGCAATTATAGACCAATATCAAATCTTCCTTTTATAGGCAAGATTATTGAAAAGGAAGTTTTTAATCAGCTGAACAAATATTTAAACTCAAATGGATACCTGGACAATTTTCAATCTGGGTTCCGACCGCATCACAGCACAGAGACAGCGCTCATTAAGATAATAAATGATATTCGCTTAAATTCTGAATCTGGCAAAATATCAGTGCTGGTACTACTAGATCTCAGTGCTGCGTTTGACACTGTCGATCATAACATACTACTAGAGAGACTGGAAAACTGGGTCAGGCTTTCTGGGATGGTAATCAAATGGTTCAGGTCATACTTAGAAAGGAGTGGTTATTATGTGAGTATAGGAGAGCATAAGTCTAAGTGCACGTCCATGACATGCGGAGTCCCACAAGGCTCAATTCTTGCACCGCTCTTGTTTAGCCTGTATATGCTCCCACTAAGTCAAATAATGAGAAAGAACCAAATCGCCTATCACAGCTATGCAGATGATACCCAGATTTACCTAGCCTTATCTCCAAATGACTACAGCCCCATTGACTCCCTCTGCCAATGCATTGATGAAATTAACAGTTGGATGTGCGAGAACTTTCTTCAGTTAAACAAGGAAAAAACTGAAGTCATTGCATTTGGAAACAAAGATGAAGTTCTCAAGTTGAATGCATACCTTGACTCTAGGGGTCAAACAACTAAAGATCAAGTCAAGAATCTTGGTGTAATTCTGGAGACAGAATTATGTCAAAGCAGTAACTAAATCAGCATACTATAATCTCAAAAACATTGCAAGAATTAGATGTTTTGTTTCCAGTCAAGACTTGGAGAAACTTGTTCATGCCTTTATTACCAGCAGGGTAGACTATTGTAATGGTCTCCTCACCGGCCTTCCCAAGAAGACCATTAGACAGCTGCAGCTCATCCAGAACGCTGCTGCCAGAATTCTGACTAGAACCAGAAAATCTGAGCATATTACACCAGTCCTCAGGTCCTTACACTGGCTTCCAGTTATATTTAGGATTGATTTTAAAGTACTTTTACTCGTTTATAAATCACTCAATGGCCTAGGACCTAAATACATAGCAGATATGTTCACTGAATATAAACCTAACAGATCACTCAGATCATTAGGATCGAGTCAGTTAGAAATACCAAGGGTTCACACAAAACAAGGGGAATCTGCTTTTAGCTATTTTGCCGCCCGCAGTTGGAATCAGCTTCCAGAAGAGATCAGATGTGCTAAAACATTAGTCACATTTAAATCTAGACTCAAAACTCATCTATTTAGCTGTGCATTTATTGAATGAGCAGTGTGCGATGTCCGAACTGATTGCACTGTATTTTATGTATGTATAACCATTTTCTGTTTTTAACTGTCTTAAATTAATTTTAAATCAATTTTTAAATAATTTTCAAAGTTTTTAAATTCCTTGTTTTATTTTTGTGATTATAATTTTTTTATGATTATTTTACGTTCTTTAATGTAAAGCACTTTGAATTACCATTTTGTATGAAATGTTCTATATAAATAAACTTGCCTTGCCTTGTCTTGCCTACTAACAATGATCAAATACCTTTAAAATGGGTCTTATGGCAATCAAGCGGCTTAGTAGTGTCGCTGAAGCATAACCAAAAAATATCACACACAATTAACTCCTGAATAATTCCAAAAGCATTTTAGTACAGAAAAAAATGGGATAATAACTACAATAAAACACTTCCATTAGGAAGAAATGATTCCTGATGGCCTCAGCATTTGTGCTAAAAATAACAATGATGGCCATTACACACAAATTATCAATATGCCATTATTATGCTTGTGTAATATTTGTTACCAAGGATCTATAGTTAAATAAGACTTGTTAGCATGAAAGAACAGTACATTATTCCAATAATAGCCAAATTCTCCTCCTTATTACTTCTGGACTGTTCACTAGTGCAGTTTGTAGTGAAGATATGACCTCCAACTGTTCCTCAGCAATCTGATTCAATCGCTCAAGTCTGCGAATCAATCTTCCACAATTCACCTGTGCTACAATCTCTACACCAAGCGATTCTCATTCTGCTCTCTCACTTTATCAAGCAGACAGGAGAGCAGAGTAACGGAGCTAGAGTTAATCTTTAAAAAGTCCTTAGTCAAGTTCTTTTTCTATGAGTTAATGCATCAGCGCAATCTAAAAGACTTTTGTGAAAAATATTGCCATTGCATCAGCAACTGATGAGGAATGTAAAAAAGACTCAGGAAACATGGAGTTCCACTACAGTATGAAAGCAGAAGGGAGTGGTTTGGAAGAAATGTGATCTGTGTAGACCGAGTCTTTTCCAATAACACAGAGTATTGACACAATTCATCACCAGGCAGGGAAAATAAAGAATCATAGAAATAAGAGGTTGCTTTCAATGGCGTAAGGACACTGGCGAAATAAGGAGTCAAAGTTTCCTCTGTTGATCTGGGTACAAAGCAAATTCATATTTGATGTTTATACAGTTTTCATGTTAAAGGAACACCATTTATCTTACACTTTAGACTCCCTAAAGTCATCAATACCATAATA